CCCAGTATTACCGTATGATTCTTTTCTTGGTGACTGCTTATTTCTGCTTTATGCCAGGAATATACTTCCTTATCTCATCAAGGATATTTATTTGGCTCTTTCAAAATTTTTGCGCTCTCTTGTTCAATGAATTCTGTCTCATGTGATCTTGGGTTGCACATTTTATTATCTTTCTTTTATAAAAGTTGTGTTCACCATTTATCACATTATTCTTCTCTATAGAATTTGTTTTCCTCTGAGGTACCTTGGTCAGTAATGTGTACCTTATACGGAAAAGGCAAAAGTCCAGGCCCTAACTTGTGCTACTTCAGGTGAGTACAAAAGTAGAGAGCCCATTGTACTACACTTGGGGTATGTGCAAATATGGAAACCCTAACTCTTAGGGTACTTATCCTTCACCTCTTCCTGGATGCTGTTCTTCTAAGTCCTTTTCTTCATTGGTAAAAATATTTCATCTTGTGTAGTGAGATGAGACAGAAAGAGGGAACTCCCTAGGTTGGTAGGCTGCTTTGTGTGCACTTGTAGTGAGTTATTCACTCTTCAACTCTTCTTAGCTCTGGACCACTCTCATGTTGCCTTATGTACCTGTGCTTGTAAGGGTTATAGAAGGACAAGCATAATTTCCTCATGGCAATGCAACAGAGAAGGAAGAACTCTACTCAGAACTACTCCCACAATCTATTTCTTGTCAGTGGCTACGTTCTGTTTCCTTGGGTTTCTCCCAGTTTCATTCTATGCTTCAGGTTGATATATTTTTAATCCTATTTCTATGTCATTTCCATGTTTGAGTGGGGAAGAAGTCAAAAGATTACGCTAGTTTGCTCTCTGCAAAAACTGGAAATACATTACTTTCATAATAAGTTGTTTATTGGTGATTAATTAGATTAAAAATTTATTAAGAAACAGTCCTCATACAGAGACCTATATTGGAACTGAGTTAAGTTAGATTGATCTGTGCTATGTTTGTTTTCCCCTTGCCTCCATCTCTTGCTATCTCAACCAAATTTATTGATTGGTAATGTTTTTTTGGTTTTGTTTTGTTTTAACCACAGCTCAGATCCTTCCACTGTTTAGTGTTGGAGATATTCCATTCAAATTGTAGGTAACTGACCCCATATGGTGTCCCTGTTCTGTTTCTTATATAATGGGCTGATTGGTATTTACTTGTTGCCTTCTACTATTCCATCAGTCTGTCACTCTTCTGTCTTGATAGATTCTTTTCTGCCATGTACAAAACCCACCTGTTAGAGAAACAGGCAAGAGAGAAAATGATAATGAGGCTGTGAGAGATTCTCATGATTAAATGAGTTAACATACTGATCACAGTGTAGCTGTATTATGGCTAATGTTAACAATTTAGATAAATTTTAGCCTGAGGATCTAGATGAGGTTCTGTGCCCATTCAAAAAAAATGTATGAAAACATTGCCTTTATCTAACTTTAAGGTGATGAAGGCCTATCATGAAATCAAAATTTTGTTCACAATTCATATAAAATATAGCTGTATTTAAATAGAGTACATTATTTTAGGGAACAGAAGAGGCGTGAGCCAGATTAAGTGACTGATAACTAATTACATGGTTAGTTTGTCTTTAGATGGATTGAAATGGATAGGTGTACCGGCTTCCTGGTAAAGGGACAAGAAGATGGTATTTGAATGCCATCCATAACTAAGAGATACAGAGGGACCTGGGAGTTAGGGAACTCGAGCAGTGCTCGAGCCCCTCCAGGGGGCTCCAGCCCCTCCAGGGAGAAGCATGGAATGATGTGTGGCCTAGCCTGAGGGAGAGTAGCATGAATGGAGAATCCAGGGCAATCTCCGGAGGATAGATGGGCGTTGACATTAGGGGATTTGACCCCAGATATTAAAACCCTAGGCATCAACTTGCCATTGTTGTAATGGGCTATAGTACTTAGCAGAGGACTAAAGTAATTTCGTGGGATCTAGGGAAGAAGCAGATCTGGTTCCTAGAACAAGGAGGCCTCAATTAGTACACACTGAATTGAATGAAACCAAGAAGGGAGATGACAAGATGATAGTCTAGACTTAGAAATGTTGAAGAGCGGTACTTGATCATGAGTTTCGTATTAGTCCATCTTAAATGTTTCTTCTTACAATATGTATCCTGGAAGGGACAACCATATATATATATATATATATATATATATATATATATATATATATGTATCATAGCTGTAGGTGATATTTATGTGGTGGCTGATTACACTTGAGACAACAGATATACAAGCTGTATTTATCAGAGTGGTTCAGGGAAATACACTGAATACTGTCTTTGTTTCTCATTTGAAGGTTTTGAAAATAATATTGCTTCACAGTATTATTGTGAGTAGTACTGCTCAGATACCTGGAGAACGTGCAGGACTCCCTCCATTGCCTGGGAATGGCCAAAACTGGCCGTGGTGCTGGGTGGGACAACCCAGGCTTGGACTGGATTCCATGTGAATCCTAGCCACATGAAGTTAGGGTTGCTAGGCTTGCAAATAAAAATAGATGGTGCCCAGTTAAATTTGAATTATTTCTAATTGCCTTTCCATATGTACACTGGGAAAGAAGAAAAGTATTGTATAGGAAATATTTGTACTAAAAATTACTTGTTTATCTGGAATGAATTATAAGTATCTATACTACATACCTCTTTAATTATATTTCTATAAATATATGGCTCTACTTAACATTTCTTTGTCTTGCGTAATCTGCTTATAAAACTCCTTGCAGTTAGAGACTGTCTTCCATTTGCATTGTAATATGGCTTTTACTGTGGTCACATCAAAACTATTTAATTCCTTTGTCTACTCAACATTCATTAATGAGAAAACATGTCCAACATTTGCATTATGAGCCAGTATACTGAAAAAATAGTTACATAAAGTTTACAACTCGGAGAACTGCTCTTCAAATTTGATTCTTTGAAGCATATAATACCATCTTTCGTGACATAAGTTGCTTTCCCATTGTTTAGGATTATGTTGCTCAATGACTTTTTGAAACTGTTGTCCACTGACAAAAAAGCATTGTTCTCAAATTTTATTCCCTTCTTTTAAAAATTACACGATGTTTTCTTCCATGCTGGAAGAGTATTTTACAACATCTGAGTAAAATGATTGAAGTCTTCAAGGGTTGATATTGATTTCAAAAGATAGTTATGGTAAGTGTCATAATAATTATCCACTTCAAGTCGGAACATCTTTTCCTGTTCATAAGTAAAGTGTGGTCTGCTCACATCATGGAAATTGTTGATGTGGTCTACTCTGTATTGTGTCATCCCAATGTGGGCATGACTGAAGGACAGGTTGGATAAATTTCGGGGTATTGTGAGTGTATTTGAACAGAGGGCCTGAATGAGCAAAATTAAAATGACTGTGCACATGATTCTGGCTGTGTAGAGAGGTCAGTGAGACCAGAGTGAAGCTTATGGGTTCCGAGCCTCCAGGATTTAGAGGTCAAAATAAAGGTGATTAGCAGATACTTTATTAAGAACAAGTATCATTTTGATCTAAGTGTCACAGATTACTGCTACATCTTTCCATCAGATATAGTTAATTCTAATTTCTATGTCTTGACTATTTTACCTGGAGAGCAGTTCTAAATTTGGTCTTCCCAGAGGGTGTAAGGTCAGAAGATTTATTTGTTTTGTGAGTTCCACCTTAATTAAATTGTATTAATAACTTTGTTTTAATTACTTCTAAGGGACTTCATCCTAAACGTAGTAGAAATTTTCTAAATTCTATCCAAACTACATTGTGAACTTTAAATTGCTTTTGGGATTAGAAATATCCTTAAAGCAGCAATGACTTTTAAGTTGTTTGGTGCTCCACTGGGCTAATCCTTTAAGGGATCCTCTATTAGTGAAATGACTGTAAAAAGCCCCAACTTTCATTTTACTGGAAGTCAGTTCTATTTTGCTAGTGGTTAATTGCTTTTTTTTTTTCTTTTTACAATGTAGCAATGGCAGCTACTTGATATTAATGAAAAGTGAAAAGCAGATAATTCTTCTTATAGTTATCTTACTGAATTTACTGGGATGGAATTTATGAGACCTGCAATCTCATTAAAAAGTAAGGCTACCTCAGTTTCTGGCATTTTAATATAGAAATACTCTATATTCCAGTAAGTGGGGATACAGATACTTATAATGTATTGCTAATGCTTAAGAATATTTTTGAATGACTCACCCCTCTCTTTTATGGGTTTTCTGAATATGCAGTGAGAGGAAGATCAGCAGAGCAGCTGTTAGAGCAGAAGCAGCTGATTTCTATGCAGGGAGAAGATAATATGTATTTTCTCATACCTGGAGGTAAAAGAGTAAATCCCCTGTCACTTAAATTTCTTAGTTTATACATTTATTTTTGTTTTGACTGTAGATTGAGACATGCGCACTAGAGTTTTCTGAGATCAATGTGTCATTCATTATCAGGACAGTAGGGTTACCTACATGTCTCAATTTGTACTGAAAAAGACTACGAAGAGTAATTTTATCTAACTATATTTTCTTTTATAACCATTACTAATGCCTTTGATTAATATTCTTAGGATATCGCAGGTATATATTTCTCCCCAAATTAGAAATAACCAAACATCATTTCTCTAATAATGTGTCTCTTCAGTTTGTTCTTCTAGCCACAAAGCAATGCTGCCACTGAGGTTAAATTACTGTTGAATCAGGATTTACATCTAACCATTATGTTTTAGTAACTGTAGAACAGTTATTTTTGCTAAGGCTAACATTGGTTGTGTTTTGGATTGTTTGGTCAAAATGTTGTGGTGACATTGCATTCACAATAATTTCAAATTCATAATGTAAGTGAGATACACAATTCTAACCCAGTTGTATGTGTTCTGAATCTGTTTTCTAACAAGGGCATATTTTTTTGGAGTTAAAGCCTCCTTCATGTGTTCTAAAAGTCTAACTGATCTTAGCTTAGAGGATTGTAATATGTTCTTATGCTATATCTGTGTATCTAATTATAGGTCCACATTACCCATAAGGGAAGCCACTTAAGGGTGCAAATAACTCTTACAAACACTGCGGTAACATGCACGTGTATTCTGGCTGCTGCAGAATTCCTTTTGGTGAAAGAAAATATTAACATGGGAAAGACCAATCAGTCTTCTGTTACAGAATTTGTCCTACTGGGGCTTTCTGGCTACCCAGAGCTTGAGGCCATTTATTTCTTGCTGGTGCTATTTATGTACCTGGTGATCCTGCTGGGAAATGGAGTCATCATCATTGTGTCTGTGACTCTTACCTGCGCACCCCCATGTACTTTTTCCTCAGTAACTTATCATTCTTGGATATTTGCTACACCAGTTCTTCTATTCCCTTATTTCTCAGCAGGTTCTTAGCTTCAAAGAAAACCATTTCCTTCTCTGGGTGTGGAGTGCAAATGTTTCTCTCCTTTGCTATGGGAACCACAGAGTGTGTCCTTCTAAGCATGATGGCATTTGACTGCTATGTGGCCATGTGTAACCCTCTGAGATACCCTGTCATTATGAGCAAGAATTTGTATGTGCCTGTGGCTGCTGGGTCCTGGATTGCAGAGGGTGTCAATTCTGTGTTGCAGATGTCTCTTGGCATGCGGCTTCCCTTCTGTGGGGATAATGTCATTAATCATTTTACTTGTGAAATCTTGGCTGTCTTAAAATTGGCCTGTGCTGATATCTCCATAAATGTTATTAGCATGGTTGTTGCTAATATGATTTTTCTTCTGGTTCCAGTACTTTTCATTTTTGTTTCCTATGTTTTCATTCTCCCCACCATCCTGAGGATTCCTTCTGCAGAGGGAAGGCATAAAGCCTTTTCCACCTGCTCTGCCCACCTCACAGTGGTGATTATATTCTATGGAACCATCCTCTTCACGTATGCAAAACTCAAAGCTAAAGACTTCTCTGGTGCAGACAAAGTACAAGTCACAGACAAAATCATCTCTCTCTTCTATGGTGTTGTGACTCCTATGCTCAACCCCCTCATCTATAGTTTGAGGAACAAAGATGTGAAGGCAGCTCTGAAGAATGTATTCTGTCGGAAATGCTCCTCAGAGGAAATGTGAATGTTGTTTTTTTGGTAAAAAATTCATTTACTCTGAATGCAGGACTAGTTCTCACCTGGAGTTCCAAAGTAAATGTAAGGGTTGGTAGTATCGTTAATTCTTGAAATACTTATTTTTCTGTTCCTAGCATCTAAATGTGAGAGAAATCTGGGGCCTATATTCTTCATGACTGGCTTAAAGAAAAAAAGGGAAAGAAATCTATGGGTAAAAGGATTCTCATCCAAACCACCCACATTCACAGAATTTATTATAGTTTAACTCTGGAATGACGAGTTCTGTAATCTTATGTGAACAGAAGTACCTTGTAACTAGTTTAACTTCTTATTCTCTATTTGCATCAGTTTTCTAGTCTCATATCTTTCTTAGGAAGGTAAAGTAGAAAGTGCCTTGTTAAGTGTCAGAGTGCTATAGAAACTCACCATTAAATAATTCATAACAGGGTAGTGTTTGACCTTAGAGAGGGATGACCACTTTTGGCTATGTATACATTATAGGCAAGAGTAGAAAAAAATGTTGCTATTTTCCTAGGGCTGATATCCTTTTGGCTGCAATCTGGCAAGCATACTTCTGTGCAGAGGTATCTGAGGCAATGTGAGGCTTAGTGCAGATGCCCCATCTGATGGGGAAATTTGGTCTATCTTGTGTTTCAACAGATGAGCAGTGACATCTTTGAATGAAAATGATGATTACTGTTAAGTGACATAAAAATTACTCAGTTTCTAGAGAATGTGGTTGTCCACTTCTCTGAGAACATTGTGATAATGGGTTTAGAGTGTCACAGATTAAGTATTTTTACAGTTACATGAAAGGAAAATGGAGTTCTCACACCATAAAAACAACACATAATGGATGGGAAGAAAAACATGAAGGCACTTAAAAGAAAAAAAATAGGTTAGAGCTTAGTTAGACAAGGCATTTTTTAAAAAATAGAGTTTTCAATCTAGTTAAAGAAAAAAAAATCAGTCATTAAGTGGTTGCTTAGCACGGAGAATGAAAGGGACCCTGGGAACTTCCTTTCATTCAATGCTCATCCAACAGATTTTAAGTCAAGTATAACCTTGGAGAGGTTATACTTAATGTAGAGAGTGATGAATCTGGCGTTCCTTTTAGCCTGATTCTAGTAAATATGCTATTCATATAAGTAATCCCCTTGATTTGACCTAGTTTCCCCCTTCTGATGAGAAGCAGACATCCAGGTCACCTGTATAGAAGGAAAGAATGGACTGAGCAAAGGAATGAAGTGGCTCTTCCACTTTGGCCTAGGTTTCGCATTGTAAAGGATGGCACTCTGCTTCATAGTAGTATCTGTGAGCTAGTGTGAATCAACCCCTGTGAACGAGATCTAGCTTCTTGTTTTAACCAATCAACTTTGAGTCTTGTAGGGCTAAGGAACAGAATGTGGACCTTAGTTAAAAAAACAGCAGCAACAACAACAACAAAACACACAGTATTGCTGTCTGGTGAGGTCTGTTGGCAGGAAGCCTGACAGCTTCTCTTGGGGGAAGCCTCTGAATCACTGCACATGTTTTATTCGAACTCTAAGTTTTAACATCTTACTGCACATGTTTTATTCGAACTCTAAGAGTAAGTACAATCAGACTTCAAAGAAGGGGAGATCCTGTGAGAGAGGGCTAAGGCAATATTTCATTGCATCAATTGAGTTTGACCTTGATCAGCTGAGGAGGAATAGTCTTAGGTAATGGGCTGAAACCAGAATGCATCAGTGGGGCTTCTAGACAAGAAAACAATGTGCATGGGTGCAATAGACAGAAAAAGAAAGAAAAAGAGGAACAAAGATTTGCCAGTTTGTGAGGTATATTAAATGGAGTATTCAGGAATTATAATTTATTCTCCAGGCAATTTGGAACCTTTTGAATTTTGACCAAGGGAGTATAGAAGATTAAAACTCAGAAAAAAGGTTAATATAGAGGCATTCTTCAGGGTCATGTGCTTTTCTCACCAATATGGAACTGTGACCTGTGCTTGGTGGGTCTGTAAACATTGTTTTTCAGGACAATCATTGGCTCCTCCTCTAGCTTGTAGAGAACCTGAATCAAAATTCATCTTTGTATGGAACTAGACAAACAGTAGTTCATTTTAGGTCAAATTTGGTATCAAAAAGTTTTAATTCCCTTGGCAGAAACACGGTCCTCCCATTTCCTGTGGGTTCTCAGCTCAGTCCTGTAACAGTCTGTGAAAATTAAAGTGAATCCAGCATCAGTCTGAAGTGAGACTAAAGCTTTGTTGGGTCCTTTGCAGCTAAGTCTTAACTGATTGCTTTAGTTATTAAAGTAACCAAAGTAATAATAACTGCTTCATTCTGCCTGGGTTTTTCAGGTTTTTTTTTTTTTTCACTTCCAAGAACGAAAGGAACTTCAATAGATATCCAAAGAAAAAGAAAAACATCTCCATTTATAAGTTGAAAGATTGATGCCCTGGGGGCCATAGGAACCTAACCCTTCTACTATTCCTGCTTTTTTTTTGTTGTTGTTTTTTAATAGCTTTTACCCCTTACCCCTAGAAAACTTCTCTTCTAGAAGTAGTGAGTTTATGGAGGTATTGCTCACTGGGTGAAAAAGAACATGTTCATTTGGTGGTCAGTTTTCCTCCATATGCCCTAGGATATGTTGAACATTATAAGCAATAGTAGTCAAATGTACATGAGCTTAAAAACATCTGGCTACGTCTCTTAAGAGCTCTGTGACATTATGCTCACATTTTTAAGCTTTTCTCAGCAACTGTGGGCTCCCCTGTATAGTGGAGCAGCCTGTTCTGAATTTAACTGTTATCACATATACTAAGTTTATGGCTTAGATTAGGAACTTAAAACACATTTGACTCTTACTGGGGTCATAATTAGTTGGAATTAAAAGAGTATGAGGGGGGCTTCCCTGGTGGCCCAGTGTTTGAGAGTCCGCCTGCCGATGCAGGGGACACGGGTTCGTGCCCCGGTCCGGGAGGATCCCACGTGCTGCGGAGCGGCTGGGCCCGTGAGCCATGGCCACTGAGCCTGCAGGTCCGGAGCCTGTGCTCCGCAACGGAAGAGGCCACAACAGTGAGAGGCCCGCGTACTGCAAAAAAAAAAAAAAAAAAGAGTATGAGGCCCAAAATTACATTCTTAGGAAACCTAATTTCAAATTCTAGATCTTTCTCATGCTAGGGAAGTGAGGGCTGCACTACTTTTCAGAGTCTAGGTTTACTCATCTGTAAAGTTACCAATAGCTTCTTCATAGATTCCATGAGTGAATACAATGATATCACATGATGAAAGCGCTTTGCAAGTGAAATGCAATATCCAAATGCTTGTTCATTAATTCATTCAACATATATATGGCAATGGCTTAGTGTGTGCCAGGCAATATAATTAAGGATGGTGGTGAGCAAATGAAGTCACAAGTGTTGACTGGCTCTAAAGCTCACAGTCTTTCCAAAACACTGTGTTATCTCAGACAGGAAAAGTTGTGCTGTGTTAATCATACTGGTTTTAATAGCAATTGGAGAGAGGCTAAATTAAGTAAACTTGGAATCCAAACAGAATGACAGATGTATGGAGAACGGGACAACCACAAATTTGTTCCACTAAGCCGAATTTCTCCTACAAATTATATCACTTGGCACAATGTAGGAATAGATAGAATAGATGCTCTTTTTTTCCTGGAACATTTCTGTCATACAAAGTAGATTAATCCAGGTCACAAATAATCAAAACAAGAGATAAAGGGCCTGTGGTAGATTTTTGCTTCTACATAATTTATTCTCTGGAGTCAAAGCTTACTCTGGAACTCAGGGGCACTAGGATAAAGAGGTACTGATTACAGTGATCCTGGCCCAAGGAGCTTCCCGAAAGGGTTCATGGAAGAGGTGGTTTGTGTTTATTCGTATTTAGAGGGTTAGATATAGGAATCATATTTTTGTCTTAATTTGAATTCAACAATTATTTTGAGTATAATCATTTAGGTGATATGGTATCTCAGCTACGTTTAAAAACGTTTTAAAAAAATATTTTTTTATTACAGTGGTCATAGCAACTGCTGATGATGGTCAAATGATTGCATTGCAGTTCCGCACGTTTGGGACAGAATTAATTTTTGCAGCAGATTATAGGTCCAATAATAGCATTCAAATTGTTTAGATGCTAAAGAAAATAACAGATAACACATCTGTTTTGCAATAATTTCTCTAAGATCACCAATTAAAGGAATCTAATGCTCTCATTCTATCTGCTCTGGGGAGGGGAGGAGAGGCAGAATAAATGTTTCTGAAGAGGCAGATGTAGCAAAGAGCACTGAATTTTATTTTAGAGTACCTAGATTTGAAACTGAAAGATTTGGAACTTCTTTTTTTCTCTTCTTTAAATGAAGCCAATTCCTACCTAAGATCTTTATTGTGAAAATGACCCAGTAAGGGTCTAAAATATAACATGAAGCTTTATGACACTAAATAATGAAAACTTGACAAGTGAAAAAATAAATATATCCAGTTAAAGCATTTAAAATTGATATCTTACCCTTAATTTGAAAAACCACATTTACAACAGAAGAATATGGAACATTATGACATTTATGTAACTCTGAGCCTGAGGAATGGTTTCCTTTCCTTGATTTGAAATCAGTATTCTTTTGCTTTACAGCCTCAAGAAATGCTTTCCATTTTATGTAATAATTTTCAGGATAAAGAGAGGGGATATTAGTGAGCATTGGATAAAAAGTAAGGTGCTGTAATTATTTTCTTCAAGTTTTGACTTATCATTAGTTTATTCCTCAGGTAAAACTGATAGATGAATCTATTTAAAATATTCTGACTCTCAGGTCCAGAGTTTCTAGTTCAATCTCAGAAAAGAAATATGTAAGATAATCCAGAGATTCTTGGGACCTTTGGGGTTATCTAACTGCTCCTTTACATTTTGAGCTCCAGAAATGTCCTCCAAAAGACCAACCATTAGCATAGCAAGGCAGTTTAAATGCATTTTGGGGCAAGCCAGGGAGGGATCCAGTATTTGCAACAAAGTAAAATTAGGAATGTAAGCATGGAGGATGATAAACTTCCCAACACCCCAGGGGGAATGTAGTTAGACCCAATTATATAATTGGTATGTTCCTTTTGTAATACGACTCAAACATGAAACATATATCACTGTCTATCTTCTCACAACATTTGAAGATTTAAGACCCAAACAGAAAAAAGTCTTTAATAAGTATTGCTGTTTTTTGGGGGAAATTATCTGAAAACTTTCCACAATTAATTGTGTAAATTGCCTTCATTTGCATAGTGCTTTCAAATATCTAATGTGTTTCTCAGAATACTACCATGAGTTAGTACAGTTATTCCTATTACACAAATTTAGAGCCTCAGACTTTGAAAGTTGAAATATTTTGCTGAAGTTTGTCCAGCCAGTATATGAGAAGGTAAAAAAGATCTCAAATTCAGCTTTTGTGACTCTTGCCCCTGCAATCTATTTGCAGCACTGACCCATCTTGCACTGATAAGAGCCTGAAATGAGCTGTTAGAATTTTGCATCCCCACCCTGTAATGGATGCAGGAAAGTTAGGTTAGAATGATGTAAACAATTGAAAATGACAAATGTCAATAAAAAATTAAAACTGAACTTTACTTTCCCTCTAGGTCCAAGTCAGAGTTGAAGCATATGGAACAGAATGTAACCTTTTATGAAAAACAATTCCTCTTTGACTTTAATAACAAAGATTTGCATTCAAACTCAACCTTTGCTCCCGAAATGAATCCTCCTTTCTCAATAACATTCTGTTAAAGCTTTTTCAGATAAGCCTACTTTTTCAAATTGGTAATTTCTTCTTAACCTACGTATTTTTTCTAAATTTAGTTCACTCTAAATGCTATAATTTATGCTGCACAGGCATCTGACATTTAATACCAGAGAATAATAAATAATACTAATTGAGTTGGGGGCAAGGAGCATTTTTCTATGCACTTTTCATGTATTTCACTTATCTGATCCTTATTACAATCTTATGAGATATATGCTATTATTATCTTCATTTTAACGGTTGAGTGAGGAACAAAAAGATATTATCATTGACTGTGAGGTGTGTGTATGTGTGTGTATACATATATTTTATATATATATATATATATATATATATATATATATATTACATATATATCTATGCAACAATTTTCCCTAAAGGGACTGAAAAATACTTAGGGCAGAAAACATTCTATTTTACTTTTTTGTGTCACAGAACTATCTGAAGTTGTGCCTTGAGAATGGTGGACACTCAGAGTGTATACCTGTAAGCAGATGGACAGTTTTTCATTTAGTTCCTCAAATGCTGTCTATAGTTTGTATATTATGAAGTTATACATTGCTTTACTATTTATAGTTATTGCTTGCAGTAGTAATTTCTACTAAAAGACCACCACAGGAATAAAGGATGTTGAAAGGAGGCAGGACTTGAGTCCTCTTTCCCAAACATCTTTCTCTCTGTTCAACCTGAAAAACTCAAAATCTATATATTTTATGTGCTCTTCTGCATT